GCTGGTTCACTCCAGCAGGTACCCTTTCGAGGGTCCCCACAACAAGGCCTCAACAAGGTCTACAGTGTTTTGGGACTTGTATTAGGGTCCCCCTATTTTGGGAAACTTTGCCTTGCCAGCTGTGGAACCAAGCAGAGATGTTATTCTGGGCTATAGTCTAAACTCCTTAGAGGGGTTTACATAGGGGGTTATGTAGGGGAGTATAGAGGGTTTAGGATTTGAACTCCTCGAAGGAGGATATATATAGGGGAGTATTATAAGGGTTATTAAGGGGGATACTAGGAGTTTAGACTTTTGCTCGTCTATTACCTCGACGCAGGCACGTGCCAAAGATCGAGACTCAGGACAAAAGACTCCTTGGCGATTAGCTCGTGGGCATGCTCATGTTCCTCAGGGCCCTAAAGCCCCTAAACCCTAAACCCTGAAGCCCAGCAGGAAATCGTCCGCACAGTGCCGAAGATTGAAGTCAGAACGGACGCGGCCTCGGTCATGTTGAAAAAATTGAACGAAAGGGTGGTTTCCCAAAATTAGTGTCCCATTTTGGTACCCCTAAATATTTGGTGCAGTAATTTAGTTTATACCCAAAATGGGTCCATAATTTCGAGAATAACCCAAAAGACAGCCGTGGCAGCTACCTCATGCAGTCGCTAGGTGGAGAAGATTGTGGAGGTGGGACTCTGAATGCTGCCACAGCTGGCTAGCTGCCTGCAGCGTCATGCAAAGTTCAAACATGTTCTAACCCTTTTCAGCATGGAGTCTATGGTGTGATACAAGCTGAATTCTTCATGGCTGAAGCTGCTTTCCGCTGCACCACAGATCCATTAATTGGCGTTGCTGGCCGATGCCAGGTCCCACAAGTTCAGTATGTGGAGAAGATAGTAGAGGTGCCAGAGGTTCGGATCCAGGAGGCCAGCACGCTCAGATCAAGGCGATAAGCTCCAGAAATTTGGGATTGGAGGCAAGGAGAACAAGTGATGAATGCCATGCAGTGATCAACTGCAAGTGCTCCTAGATAGGGTAGAAGCACGACTGCATGAATTAGCAGTTTCGGCAGTGTTGATTTGATGCCCATCTTGGACAACAGGTGGTGCGGCACGTGCCAAAGATTGAGGTTCAGGAAATTGTGAGGCACGTACCGAAGATCGAGGTGGGCACCGAGAGGTAAAGCAGCTTCCATTGATCAAATGCGGGTGGTTGCACACACTAAGCTGTTCTTTTTGCAGCTTGGAAAGGGCGAAAGAACCTGGCAAGTCCTTGCAAATGAGGTGAAGTTTGAGGAGCGCATCGTCGAGCACCCGCAGGTCCATCAAGTAGCACCTTGGCTGGTCAAGCGGGTGAGTCGTACAGCGCAGTGGTACATTACGACTTGTGCAAAAATCCTAGTGCAGCATTCACAACCAAATTCGTTATCGCACCAATCAGAGGCACTGAGAACCAGGGCCCCTGCCCTAGCTCAAACCACCAGCCCCTGCGGTGTGCATAATTACCTGCGAGGCATGTTCGTTCAGCCCAGCAAAAACGACCTTGCATCTCATTTGTTTTTTCCACGTTCAGTAACATCGATTGGATGAAGAGCCGCAGTGGCCGAGGAGAAGATCGTGGAAGTGCCTCAAACTGTTGTTCAAACAGTGGACAGGCATGTCCCAAAGATCCACGTTCAAGAAATTGCATCTTGCCTGCAGCTTCAGCTGGGTAGTAGTTACCGGCACTGACACGTTGACAGCTAAATCAAGACAGGCTGCAGCTGTTGGCAGGCAGACCCTTTTGAGCTAAGCAGGATGGCTAAGAAACTTAGTGCTGGTCTGCTCCATCCCGAGGTGAAGCACATTCCAAAGATTGCAACTTGGCCATCACGAAGTTGCAAGCAATGGCTATACTTGCGGCACTTTCATGTCACTACGCAATTCAGAACGGTTGTGAAGCAGCTGTGCTTATGTGCCTTGATTCGATGGGCTTTTGGAAGAGACTCGAGGATGTGCGTGTGGAAGAGCGCATCATTGAAGTTCCGCAGATACAGCACGTAGAGAAGGCCAGGCGAGGCATGTCCGGCTAGGAGTTTTTTTTGGAGCTATCGTAATGGCCTGACCTTGCCCAGCTGGAAGCCATGGAGCTTGTTCTGTGTCACTGATGCTCCATGGGCTGTCTTTGGACCTGTTGGGCCTGCCAAGCTGAAGACCTGTGCAGGTTGTGGAAGTGCCTCAGACCGTCGTTCAGGTTGTGGAGCGGCACGTCGCCTGGCGAACAAGATATGACATTCAGATGCTTTAGGTTGGCTTGCACGCTGCAGACTCAAAGTCTAAAAGGGTCCAAGTTCTACAGGCATCGTGACGGCCGCCTGTTGGTGTGTCTGCCATGGTTGAGGTGCCAAAGGTTCACGTGCAGGAGGCCCTGGGCCCAGCTTCCGCAGAGACTTTGCTCGACAGCTTCATCCAGCGAAGCATATCCTCCATATACGGCTTCCCTCCTTGTTGCCATTAAATGCCATTGAAGCTGGCACACAGGGAGCTACTCCGTAAGGATGTCTCAGCAGATGGGATGTCTCAGCAGATGGTCTTGGCAGCCTGTGTTCTTCAGCAGGTGGTGAAGCACATTCCGAAGATAGACGTTCAGATCCAGGCAAGGGGGTTAGCTGTGCACCAGATCCACTTCAACCCAGGTGGCACGAAGCAGTGCCAAGTCTTGATCAGAAGGCTCTAAAACCAAGCAGCATTGACTCACAAGAGGGCAATAATATTGGGATAATGAAAAACAAAATGGAAACTACTAGAATGGGTTATATATACCCTATATAACCCATTATAGTAGTTTCCATTTTATTTTCCATTATCCCATTATTACCCCATATAATCCATAATAAGGGGAATTCAAGCATGGCTGTGCCTGTTGCAGGAGAAGATCATAGAAGTTCCCCAGGTGCAGGTCGTAGAGAAGATCATTGAGGCACGCTGTCTGTGTCTGGCATGTCAAGTCAAGTTGATTTAGCCTGCTAGAGCCTGGTGGGCCTAGGGACTGTTGCAGCCTTCTGCTAACCAGTTCTTGCATGTGGTGGAACGCACGTGAAGATGCATCAAAAGCCTTCCGCATCCACTGATGTTCTGGAGGTGCCACAGACGCAGGCAAGTGTGCTGCCTTATTTTGGTTTGGCAATAGTCGGGAGCATGCCGGGCTTCTCATCAGCTTTGGCTTTGCATACACATTGAAATTGTAAACGGTGTACAGCATGTGCCGCCACTCTCTGTGTCGGACGATGCCTTGCAATATCAAATCCTGCCCCGAGCCCTGAGGGCAGCCTTTGTCAGGTGCACGAAGTTATCAAGCACGTGCCAAAGCTCCATGTCCAGGAAGTTGTCCGACACGTTCCCAAGGCCTCTGCAAGCTAGCTCCCAGCATGCCGTCTGCGTCTGTTCTTGAACTCAATCTTGAGCGTTCCGGGTTAAAGTGATGCGGCCAATCCGCCAAATCAAAGCTGATGCCGCAGCAGTTTGCCCTGGACAGGTTGACGTGCAGGTGCGAGAGCGTGTCGTTGAGGCCCTTCCTGCATGTTCGGCCCATGCGACGAGACGCTTCTTAAGCGGCCATGCGCATTCAACTAAGATCCCTACCCACGATGTCAATTTCTGCTGGAAGCCTGACCTACTTGTAGAGCATCCTGGCTTCAAGAATCTTTCAGTGCCTCAATCCCTTCCGTCACCATTGCAATTCGTGATCCGAAGATACTGTCCTCCGTTGTATGCCATTCATCAGATTCGGAAAACGCGTTCCACAGTTTGACAGCGTGGAACTGTTAGAAAGGAGGATTTCTGGCTGTACAATGGCATTGCAGTCTGCACCAGGTGCCCCATGTCCAGACGGTCGAGAAGATAGTGGAAGTCTCTTCCCGAGAAGCCTCAAACAATGCGGATCGTGGTCTTGATGATTCATGGCGCGTGTGTTGTTTAGAAGTCCTTGCAATTATGAGAAGAATATGTATTCGGATGGTCTTGGCTCAGCTGAAAGCAGAACCTTCAGTGCCGCGATGCCAGTTGACATGTTGAAGAGTGAACAGGGTATTGATTGGTGTCGCTTCCTCAATGTCTTCCCAGAAGTGTGGCATGAATATCATTGAAGCTGAATTCCTGCGTGTGCGCGAACTTTTGAAGAGGGAGGTGGGGTGGGATGTTGAAAGCCTTTCATACAGAACCCTGCTGAGGTTCCAAAGGTGCACGTGCAGGAAGTGGTTCGACATGCCAGTTGCTCAGCAGCTCGCACGGATCGCCATGTCTTTCCTTCTATCATCTTGCTATTGGAGGTTCCACGCCGTGCTTTCACCAAGTGTGGTGTTCTTGCTTCTAGAGCGCCAGGTGACCAAACCTGTTATCGAGACGCGGGAGAGAATCGTGGAGATTCCCTGCGTGCAGGCCTACTACCCTCTGTCAAGTCAGTGTGGAAGCTGCATTACACGTATACAACATCCTTCAGATGCTGGTATTCATACTAAGCGGAAAAAAGCCCGAAGCTAGCAAAGAATGATTTCCCTGTGGTTGACACACCCCATGCTATCTCATGGAGAGCACGCAGGTTCAGGAGAAGGTCTCGCCCTTGGGCAGAAAGCAGAGTTGATGCTGGCAATGTTACTGAACGTCATTGACAGACCCCTGCATCCGGGGGCTGTAGAGCAGTCACATTGCCAGATTTGGAGCGCGTACCATCGGGAAACAAGCAATTTTCATTTTTGGGCAACATGAGGGACCAAAGTTGGAGCAACTCCCGGATGAGGGACATTTGCACTTTCTTGGGGATTGCTTTGGTTGATATGTTTTCGCTGCATTTCGTCCCTTGAGGTCGTCGAGCATCCTGACATTCGAGTACAAGAGGCATGTGAGAATTCGTGGCGCTATATATAGGTTTGGATATGAGAGCCCAGCAAACTAATAGGAGATACCATCATTTTCGCACTTTAGCGGAATCTCGCGCTTGCAAGATTAGCCAAGACTGCAGTAGCTCAAGACGACAAAGCATGACTTAGACATTCAGCATGCCACTACTGTACTGCGCAGGTGACCAAGCATGTGCCCAAGGTTGTGGAGGCAGGAGGGAGTGAGCAGTCATAAGGTGCCTACTCTCTGACCTCCAGAAAGGGAATGAAGCCGCCTCGGAGCAAAGATTGTACATCTAGCAGACTGGCTTGTTTCAGATAAGAACAACTATGCCCATCACACAACAACTATGTGACCCTCTCGCAGCTGCACATTGCAGAGGTGCAAGAGCTGGTGAGGAATCGTCAGAGACTGGATTGGACCGGCCGCTAGCCTACAGAGCTTGACATCTCAGGTTCGGTAGGCTTTGCACGAGGGTGCGAATTCGAGGTGCCGACGCCTCCATGCTCTCAACTGGAGGCTCACTGGCAGCGCAGGGGCCCTAGCGCGCACAACCTACACGGCAGCCCTCAATTTCGCTTGCGGAGTGCTTGCTGTTCAGTTCCAAATCCAAATAACGTGAAGTTCCAGTATCATGAAGGCAGAGGCGGTGTGCTTGATGTTGATCTGCATTGCGGCCGTGCTCAGAAGTCGCGCCTATTTTGACAGCCGTCCCTTTTTTAAAAATCAACTGCGGACTTTCAGTCAACTACGTTCTGCCACGTTCGTCGCGCCCAAGTGTCAGCGTTCTTGGGACTGCAAGCGCTGTGCGACACCATCATAGACACATGCTTACATTCCTTGCAGTCCAGCTTTTGTTTGTTTAGTTTGTTCATGCTGCCCATGCGGAATCGCCTCTGCTCCATTTGAGTGGACAGGCTCGAGTGGAATGGTTCAAGCTTCGTCATTGGATTTTGGAAGCTTACGGGGCCATGTTCAACAAATGCAGAGCAATCTTGAGGAGCCACCCACTGATGGGTTTTTGAATTGGACTAATCCACAGATGCAGCTCTGGAAAAGCGCGCTGATGGTTTGGATGAGGGCTTTCAGTTGCGTTTCTCCTGGCTGTTGGGGCAACGTCTGTGGGTGACTTGTTGATTGTGTCTGCTTTGGGATGGGCACATCGTTAACGTCAGGTCGACGCTGCCTCCTCCAACCCCCAATGGTGGAGTCCGGCACTTGGCGGGCTGGTAGCGTGGACCTGCGTATAGTATGTCTTCAGCACAAGCGCGGTTCTGTGGTGAGAATCGTTCTAGATTTAATTTGCTCGCTTGCGATTGAAGCTGAAGCCAGCGTGAAAGGTTCACACGAGGTACTACCCCGTCCATGGCTCAGACTCAGACTGGGCAAGGTCCTTGCACACTCCTGGAATGTGCGCGAGATGCGTGCTAGCATTTGGCACGTTCTGGCACCAGCTTCTCGTGATCGAGTGTTCCAGATGTTTCAACAGCTCTTCCTGTTACTCAAAATCAGCGCTCGATGAGGTTGACGGGGGCGGATCTCCATCTGCCAGATCTGCAACAACTGCCTGAGCCTCAAACCACGATAGCCTCGTTGCAGTTCGCGGAAGGTGTGATGCCACCATTGCGGAAGCAGCTTCCATAATGATGCCACAATGTAGAAGGGGGGCCAATGTGGGCCGAAGATTGTAAGCAAGCCTTGTTGCAATGAGATGGACACAGCCACAAGGTGGATTTTGGCACGATGGCCACGCCAGCTTCAACAATGCCCAGTCCCAAGTGCTGCAGCACTCATCACTCAGAAGCGCTAAGAGCAGTTGTGAAGACTATGCGTGTTGAGCGCTTCGTCATTTACTCTGCATCCGTGTATCTGTTGTGGTTGTTGCGTGTTGCAACCTAAACTGGCTGTCTGGAGACAGCCTTCCAGGGGCCCTGAAGCACCCGTAGTCGAGGCAGGGCCATTGAATTTGCATGTATGGGCGCGTGCATGATGTAAGATGCAGCAGAGATTGAGACTTTTTGCAATGCTTGAAGGCCTGAATGGTGGTCGGTTTTTTTCCGCGCCCTCGCAATTTGCAAAGCGACAATGGTTTTGGTTTGTCTAAGCCCATTGCAGCGAACTGGCGCAGCCTTGGCCAGCAGTCTTGCAATGCGCCTTTCATGTTGCGCTTCCGGCGCAGGTCCCTGCTCATTTGGTCAGTCTTTCCGGCGGTGGACCGCCGGCAGGCAGCGCGTACGGCAGAGCTCTTGCGCGGCGCTCCCAGTATCAGTATCATGTGTCCATGCAGATAACCTGGAGCTTTCCGCGCTTTGTCACTTAAACTTGCACGAGCAGTTAGCGCACCTGCTACCACTACCAGTAGATGCACCTGTGCATCTAGAAGTACATGGAAGAGAGACGAGGCCAGACCCCTGCCATGGCTTCCGATGTCCAACGCAGGCCGCAAAGTAGCTCTGGCAGCATGGCACTTGGTGAACTTAGGTCCAGGTCACAGTCCGCTGATTCACCGCCACGATTGCTTGAGGAAAGATCACAAGTCACAAGACCTCTGTCCCGTTTGCTTGCAGGGCTTTGCCCGCGTAGCATGCCAATCCTTTCCTGTGTGCATGCGGAGGCTCTTGGAACTGGCTCGACGCAGCTCAGTTACAATTTCGCAGGTGAGTGCAGAATAGTCCAGAGGTTGTTTGCAAGGAAGCCCTTGAGTTGTGTGTTGCATGAGGCAGCTTCTCTGAGAGAATGTGTAGGAGAGAGCCCCATGTGCATTTGTTGATGAGTCGCTGTTTCATCCTGGATTATGAGGGCCGGCCCCTCGGATCTTCCCCATTCCTTCCGACCGCTCATCCAAGCGGGCTCTTGTCTGACCACCTTCGAGCAGTACATTCTCAAATTCAGAGTCAAGGATCGGCAAGTCACAGTTTCGCCAGCATAGAGGGCTGTCCCTATCAGGTAAGGCATGATATGAGCTATAGTCTAAACTCCTTAAAAGGGGTTATATAGGGGATTATATTATAGGGGTTATTAAGGGGGATACTAGGAGTTTAGACTATAGCTCATATACCCAAAATAACAAACCTTTATGAGTCACGCCAAGGATGATGCCGCCTGGCACAACACCAACAGTATGCCGGCTGCAATGCTTTGAAAAGCCGAGCTTCACAAACGATACTGGGGACACTGATGGGTGACGCTGGAGCTTTATCAGCAGACGCACAAGCCTCATATTATTCATCGGTGTGAATCACCAATCTCATGATTTGCAATTGCATCGTATAGTCCAAGAAGTGTGACTTCGTTTGACATTTCCACGTCTCATGGTCACAAGATGTTGTAGCTTCCAAGCGTGTGTATTTGGAAGGTGCTTGGACCGCCAACCGGCTACAGCACTGGCGGGACGCAACTGCCAAACCTGACTGTCGGCCCACTGAATCCATTTCTTCAATGAAGGCAACTCGAAGGCATTCAAATCAGGGTTTCGCCATAAGACTGCACCAATTACAACATATGGCAACATGGTTTCTACAAATGTCAAAGTTCCGCATATGACACTGGGCCAATGAGATTGCAGCAAAGGTGTGCGAACGACCATCAAGGTGCATCACTCTTCGACAGCTGAGGGCTGCGGTTTTAAACACGAGGGGGGGAGGTAGAATGCTGCGGGTGCGGGCTGCCTTT